ATATATGACTCTTGTTGTGTGCACCTGCCTCAAACACAATGCAGGAAGCAGCAGAGTTTGAGGGTACAAGAGGGGAACGCAGGGTCTGCACAAGGGTCACACCCTTGCACAGAAGAGGTCAGACATGGGGAGGGACAGGTCAGATTGACTGATGGGGATTCCAGTGCCTGGGACAATGAGTCTCAAGCAGACTGTTTACATCTGAATGTGTTCCTGAGCCAGCTATGGTGGGTCTGGTGGGACTATGATCAACCACTCAAGTGCTGCTTTATACTTCTTTGATCTAATTCCTAAAGTCCTAAACCTGTAACACACCATATCCCCAGTAAAGAAGAGAGAGGAGGCCTGTGTTAGTGTAGCAATGCTCTCTGGTTCACCGCAGTGTTTCTGAGGAGTCCTTTTTTGTAGAGTTTTGTTGCATTTGCAGGAGGCTGATGCATGCACATGTGTTTTTGTGTGCACCTGCCTCAAAACCTCATTGTTCTCAGACCAAGTCCTGTCCAACTACGCTGCTCATACTGAGCTAGAGAAATTCAGCTGTTGGTAAAGACTGACAATCCTTAGCAGTTCTTAATAAGCAGAGATACCTCAAGCAGAGTAATTATCACTGAGGAGTATGATGACATATGTGTGTTTAATGCAATGACAGATTCAGCCCTGAGTTAATTACTGCCTCCAGCATCTGAACTGCATTTTTCTAGGTGGGTCAGCTGGTCACGACATCAGTTTTAGGAGAAAGATGTTTCTCCCGGGGCTAACATTATTTAGAAGTATAAAGTGCTACTAGGCACAGGGGAGAACCCTGTTAGGGTCATTGCTCAGCCTTGGTTTTCCCACCCTTACGTCCCTTCCTTTGCCCTTTTCTCGGAAAGTCTGGTTGCATCTTGAGTGCATTCTTCCTATGATCTGGCAAAGTGGGCTGTGTTTCTTGCAGCTGCCATTGCACATGAATGCTGTGCTGCATGCTGGCTGTGGGTACCTCTGTTGCTTTTTCCACCATTCCATAAGGCTTTGAACTTGATATGCTATTGACATCCTAAAATTTTTACCTTGCTTCTCAACTAAGCACATTTCAACATCACACCAGCTTTCTAACCAGCTGTGTGCTTCATCCCTACTCACCCATCTCCTTTTTGAAAGCACAGCGTACATTCCTAAGTATCAACAGCTCATTAAATATTTGTCCTAAAATGACTGCAAGAAGTCCCCTTCTCCTTCAAAGCAAATGAAGTCTCCTCTGCCTTCTCTATTGCCTTGTTAGACAATAAATAGATGTATGCTCAGTGCAGCTCTGTTGCAGAGGGCATTAAATGCCCCTCATTTTGAAATAAAGTCATTTGTTTGAGGGGTGAGTCATTCACACCTGTGTTCAGGGAATGTGCACTCCGTGACCAGCAAGACTTCTGCCATCTGAGCATGGGTATCTCATACCCCTTAAAATGCCTGTGAATATCCCAAAGGTCTGCACAAGAAATCCCCATCCTGGAGCAAAAACTGGAAGCTCAGCACAATACCCAAGAATGCCTAAAATAACACCAGTAGTCTCCTTTTAAGCAGCTGACTCTTGCACAGTGTCTCATCAGATAGTCCTCAGTTAAACCGTTGTAAATGTAGATGCTTACAGCATAGTTGGTTGGGCACACGAAAGCAGGGGAGGTTGGCCTGTACAGTATGTCTAAGACAAGCATCATCTCATCCTCGAGTCAACTTCTGTAATAATCAATATTAAATTTTCTTATTGACTATGAGGAATTTAAAGAGGAGCACAGAAGTGTTTGTTGGGGTCAAGGAGGTTTCCATGCCTCATTGGATGGAGGCAGAAGCGGTTAGTCACCGTCAGCCCATGTGGAAAGGGAAGGGACCTTCATGGGAAAAGCAAATGGCCCGTGTCTAATGCAGACCCAAAGAGAAGAAGCAAAGGAGCCATTTGAGTAGATGTGCCATCCGCACAGCCAAGGAAGACCATCTCACTGCAGCATCTCATGTGGACACAAGCAGGACAGGATCCCTGAAGAAAGACGGGGAATAACTGTTGTTAATGAGACAGGGAAAGGGGAGAGAATGAAAAAAGCAGTGTGGTAATGCTGTTTTTCCTATCTTTTCTAAATATAGCTTGTATTAGTCTTTCAACACTGACATCATGAGGTCTGCTCTTTATGAAAAAAAGGCTGTGAGATGTAATAGCTCATCTCTGCCTGGTGTCTGTCATCTAAAGGGTAAAGCATCTTCTACAAATGTGGATTTTGTTTCCCAGCATTATAACAGCCATTCTGAGGCTGAATCCGATTGATCAGGAAGGTAGAGAACCATTACCAAATGCTGCATGTAATAAGGTCTCTCAAAAGCCAGGGAGGGCTGTTTTCCAAATGTGTCGCTGCATTAGATGTCAGAGAGGATTCAGTGGAAGAACAACAGTGCAGTCAACAGTGAAACTGCATCTCTTGTAGAAATATCTGGTCTGGTTTGAGCTTACCCAGCGTAGACAATAGTAGCCAGAAGCCCAGTCAATGCGAAAATACCATGATGACAGTGGATCCAAATCTGCTGCAGTGCAGAACATCCCCATTCCACAGAGGATCCCTGGCTGCAATATGTTATTGCTGTATGCTCATAATGATGTATACCAATATATTTTCTCCAGGTAAAACACAAAATGCCTGGGGTAGTAGCAATTGCTCAAATAGCCAAATAGCATGGAGCAAAGAATTCATCTGCTGCACATCCCTCAGAGAAGAAGTTGGCAAAACCCAGCTGCTGCCCGTGTGCATGATCCAGCTCAGTGCTGTAACAAGCCACCACCACATTAGGGAAGGAGGTAGGGCCAGAAACTCCCACAAAAGCAATTGTTGCCAATACTGGGAGGAGTTGGATTTGGGCATCCAAATCTGGGACTTCTGCTGCCACAGCCTGAGTTCAACACAGCTTCCTCTCTGTTGCAGCAGTGGCTCTGCAAACTCAGGCTGGGGATCCCTGCCTGGGAGGCTCTGTTAGGCAGAAATCACGTGCACTTTTAATGAACAGCCTTTTCTGGTCCCATGAAGTATTGCAGTTCCTTGTGACTTGCTCCAGCCTCATGCCTCTGCCATAGCTTCAATGCAACCATTCAGAAAGGATTCCCAATGTTCATCCCCCAAAGCAAATCCGTGTTTAAGGAGCATGTCATTGAGATGTATCAACACTGCTCTCCTAAACCTCGTGTCTCACCTGTGAACTGCTGAATTAGGGTGAAATACCACTAAGTACACTCACACCAGCAAATCCCCACTGGCTGCAGACACCCTAAGCAGTCACTCAGGCTTGGAGCAAAAGAAACAATGTGTGCCAGTGTCACGCAGACATATGCACACAATAGCAGGGAGAAACAAAAAGCATAGGGAGGATGCTGCTGCATCCCAAGCCCTTGTCGGCTCAGCTCTGTGTCACCTTCCCTCCCTGGAAATTAACTGCCTTCTCTGCCTCCACCTTCCCCCACCACCCTGCAGCAAGCCTCTGCCTATGCCATCTGCCTCCCAGGATATAAAATCCATCACATCTTATAAATTGGCTTAGCAGGAGCCCATGAGGGTCCCCAGTGTGACATACTGGTTGGTGCTAGGGGAGGGTTGAAATAATTTTCAGTGATCAGTGGGGACAAGTCCCCTTCCAAAACATGTGGCATTGAGAAAACACTTTCCACACTTCCCTTTTTAACCAGTGTGTTTCATAGCAACTGTTTTCAGCAGGGAGGAAGTGTGGGCTTGTCACTGGTGTAAATCAATTATTGCTCTAAATTCAACACAGTGCATGTGCAGAGCACCAGGAAAGAGCCACTAACCAAAGAGTGCTAGCAGCCATTCCCGTGCCCTTGCCCCAGCAAGTGCAGGGTATTGCCCAAGCAGACTCACTGAAGGCAGCGGGGTTATTGCCATATCGACATCTCAGGGATGCTTAGACAGTGTGGATGTGTGTAACGATGCAACCATCCCATAAATCTGCAGCTGCACCTGGACACATCACATGCTGGGCAATGGCTAGGGCTGACATACTTCTTTGGGCAGCTGATTTCTACCTTCAGGTGTTTTACTGTGTCTTTGGCCCCTAAGTGTCAGAGAGAAATTTCCCTTTTTTTTTTCTTTTGTAAGGTGACTGTTTCCATTACCTTTGCTTCAGTGAAATCTTCACACAGCAAGTTACTGTGCTTAATTATTCATTTCCTGAAGAAAAACAATCCTCCTTCCCTTTTCAAATCTCTCCCCTTTCAATGCAGTCAAATCTGTCCTTGCTCTGTTTAGCCTGCTTCTCCTTCTTATCCTTTTCTTTATTTAAAAAATATGCATCCCAGTCCTTCTTTTCCTGAGTATTCACAATTCTTTGCAGGTTTGGCTTTCTTCAAACCTCTGTCTCAAACTTCTTCAGTTTTTGCAGTATCTACCAGGCCATGGAGTGATTAAAATTGGACTTCACTTTTCAAAAGCTAATAAACACAGGGTTTTTTAAATTTTTTTTTTTTTTTTTTTGTCCTGGGCAATCCATTTGTTCAGGTCAGAGGCTTCATTTCTTTGAGTTTAGGGAGCCAGGTAATACTAGCAGGCAGCTAGCTAGCAGGACCTTCTGACATCCACTCTGCCACTAAGCCAACTCCCCGCAGATTTACGTCCGAAACGCACACAGAGCAGCACTCTGCTGCTATGGATCGTGGCCCAGCGTATCAGTTTGTCACTGCTCAGCAGGGTTTCCAAGCTTGTGCATCTCCAGGCTCACCAAGTCAAATGCCACCCAGATGTGAGCTGGCTCGCTCAAGGATGCACACTGCCCTCTCCATGCAGGGGTTAATGTGTGCCAAGCATGTCCACCCCAAGAAAGCTTGGTAGGGCTTTTGGCTTTTTACCTGTTCTGTAAGGGCTTCAGGTGCTGCAACAAGCAATCCCAAAGATACACACAGAGCAAGGCTTGCTGATAATACGGTGTGTTTACTATGGAAACAGGCTGCAGTTCACCACTGTTCGTTTCTTCTCTTCCAGGTAGGCTGCAAAGCCATGATGGTTTTCTTCCAGTACTGTGTCATGGCTAACTTCTTCTGGCTCCTGGTGGAGGGGTTGTACCTTCACACCCTGTTGGTCATCTCCTTCTTTTCAGAGAGGAAGTACTTTTGGTGGTACATCTTGATTGGCTGGGGTACGTATCTTCTCAAAACTGAATGACAAGAGGTGATCCTGACAGGCATTTTAAACAGCAATTTAACCCACAAACCTGGGGCCTCAGACAGGGCAGAGATGTAGTGTACACGTTACCTTGCTGCCAAGAATTGCTAGTGCAACCAAGAGCAAGACCAGGTGATGGCCAGAGGAGTTTAACAGCATTAGCCTAAATCTTCAAAGGTATGTAAGAACTTAGTTTGTGCTAGGTTAATTGATAGTTGAGCACCTCAGTGTCTTTAAGGACTATGGGCCTGAAACTCCTCATCATCTTTATAGTCATTTGGTCCTTTGATCCTGACTGGTATCCCAATGTTGATAGCATGCGTTGACCTTAAATTGTAATGGATGGATTCTAGCAAAGCAGGACTCTTAGACTGAACCAGACACTGCAGTCCATCACTCTCCCCTTGTCTTGCTGAATTCAGGCCAGGTAACTATCCTGAGATCCCATTACCTGGGTGCTAATGCCAATAACCTTCTCCCTACTGTATTTGTGATTTCTCCAGCTTATTGTGAATCCAGTCTCAAACTCATAAAATAAAATTAAATAAACTAAAGTGAAGTAAAATAAAATAAGAAAATTCTAAGGTAGACAGAAATAAATTCTTCACAAAGTAACTCAGAGTTGAATTGCTAACTTATGAAAATTAATACTACCAGATCAACTTCTCTTCTTTCTCCTAAGAGGAAACAGAGATCTCTTTTCCCCTTTAAGCCATTTAGCTGAAGATTTATGTGTAAGTCAGAAAAATGGCTTTCTACTGCATGCTCATGATAGCTGAAACTGAGAAATAATTAGAGCGGGGAAGAATCTTGAAACGAAAGAAAAAATGAAATTGTGTCATGTACAGGAGTATGTCTGGGCTCAGGATTTGATCAGTTATCCGTAGAGTAACTTCCATCGAAAGTGACAGGAGTTATGCCTGGGTTCACCCTGCAGAAGAGAGACAATTCTCTGGGCCATAAGCATATGAAGAGGTGATGTTAGCAGGCCTTGTTTCACGTATAGCTAATCAGCTCAGACCTTCTTTAAACCTGCCTTGTCATAGATACCCTGTCTTTCAGCACAGCAGAGTGGCAGATTTTAAAGAAAAATGTATGAAGCTAATGATTTTAAATGAAAGGAAATCTCTTGCATCTGTAATGTATTCTGAGGTTCCTTGGGTGAGGAAGGGCAATTCAAGGAAATGTTAGGTGCCTTTCCGTCATCCACCATTTGCAAGAGCCTCAGTGACGGATCTGAAATGGATCATGCAGGAATTAAATATTTGGATGCGCTCATTACAGTTCTTACTGGTTTTATTGCCATGGCACTCGGAAATCACTTGGTAATAAACAATATGCAATACTGTGACTAGCACAGAACAAAGCTACATGTCCTTCCTGAAGTATTTCCAATATAAATCTAATCAAAGACAAGAGGCAGAGAAAAGAAGGCACCACAAGGATGGAATGAGAAAACCCTAGTCAGGTAGATGATCATGAAGTGAGGAGCAGAGGTGGGTTCATCTGGCCAGCTGCAGACATCTACATGTAATCTTGTCACTCCAGACGCCCTTTATAGTCAGTGGACATCCAGGATACAGTCAGGAGAATCCAAGGGCATATTTCTTATCCTAAAGCAAACATCCAAAGTAGCTCGGTGACCTGTGTGATAGAAGTCCATATTTCTCCCCACTGATGCTGAAGACAGCCTGTGGTAACGGGCTTAGACACAGGTTGGCCACACTGGAGATGTCTAAAGTGACTCCTATTCCTTGCATTTCACCATCAGTTTTTTTGTTGGCACTGCAACAGGAAGATAAATCTGCTAGGGAGCAGTTACAAGAACCTCATCTTACATGGCCAGTGGGAGAGAAAGGCAACACGTTGCCTGTTTGGCATGTGAGAGTTGAAAATGTGAAGCATCTGCCCACCCTGGAGGGAAGGCATCACCTCAGTTGCTCAGGAGAGATGGGGATTGGGGGAGAACAGCCCTGAAAACATTCATCATGATTTCTGAGAGTAACACTGTCTCTTCTCTTGTCAGGTGCCCCCTCCGTGTTCATCACTGCTTGGACTATTGTCAGGATTTACTTTTTCGATGTTGGGTAAGCCTGGGGACTCAATTATCTTTCCTTTATAATTCTTCCTTCCTTTGTTTCCAAGGAAGGCCTAGGAATGCCCTGCAGTTTTAGCAACCCAGCCGTCCTGCCCTAGCCCCAATGGCATTCAGAGCAGAGCAGAGGCTTTCCACTGCCACTGTGAACCAGGAAACCCTCCAAGGTCTCCCTGAAGACACAAATGTCAACTTAGGCCAGTCACTCACCCTCTTTGCTTCCCAGTCCCTTGGTCAGGATACTGGCAGGGAATCTGTGAACAGACCCTGATGGTCACGTGTCCCTGTGATCTGTGTATAACAAAGGTAGCAGCTGAGCAGCTGCCCTTTGCTCAGAGCAGAGCTTTGCATGCTGTAGAATTGACCCTAAATATGCTCATACAGCAGATACCTATTAAACACACCCATTAGCTCTCTCACAGAAAAAGTCTAAAAACCCTCTTTTTTTTTTTTCCCTGGGCAGAACTTAGGATCTGTTTTTCATCCTCCTTAACCTAGCAGCCGCCTTTGATATTTCATGTAAACAGATAGAATACAGCAAAGTAAATGAGGCAGATATTGGAGCTATTCAAGGAAATACACAAGTAAATAGGATCTGATCCTGCAATCCTCCTTCATGCTGTTACTCCAGCAGTCAAACTACAGTAATTGGAAAGGCTTTTATGAGAAAACACCCCAGAGAGTTACAGAATCAGGTGCTTATTATGTACTCACTGTGCATGTCCTCACTTCTTGCATTTGCAGCATATGGTTAACTCCATTTTCTCCCGTGCAGTCTCCCTCTCCAAATGTGTCCTGATTTGTCCTTATTTCAGCAAGAGAGGTAGCTCAGATTTCTCATTGTGTTTTTGATTTATAGTCGTGCTAACACATTTCCTGAGGGCTACTGACTTCTTTTATGATTTCACTCTATCTGCATAACACTGACCTTATTTACTCTGTTAATAAATAGCCTCTACAGTGAGATAGAGACCAAAGGATTTAACCAGTCTGGGTACCAATTCTTCTCACTATATATTCCCACTCAGCTACAGCAATTCTTAATAAAAATACAGACTTCTTCGCATTTTCTGGAGGCTTCAAAGCTCTACATTTTTGTGCCAAGTAAAACAGAGTGTGAATTTACAGGAAGTGCTAATACCTAACATAGATGGTTTTGGCATACTAAAATTACCTACAGAGAAAAATTACAGGAAATTAATCCAGATTAAATAAAACCTAATTATGTAAGATTGGTTAAACAACATTAAGCCTCTATTTAAACATTCTAGCTCCAAATTAAAGTGACCTTCATTCAGACTGCCTGAATTTATTTTAAAAATGAAGTGCACTAGATGTAATTAGGGCCACTTTAATTCTAAATGAAAGGGCAGCATGCACCTGACTAAGTATAAGCATCTGTATCTGAACAATTCACTCAAGTTGCCTTTTATAGCTAGCGGAGATTTAGTCAGTGTGGTCCATGGAGTGCAATTCTTTTCATCCTAAAGCAGATGCCTAAAATAGGTCTCAGGAACTGTGCCCGAAAAAGTGCCTCTCTTCATCTACCATTACTTGCACTGTCAGCATTTTGAATTAGATGAGCTGAATCCAGGTGAAATTGTCTATGATGGGTTCCACTAATCTATTCCAAACATGAGTGCAGAGCAACTGTCATGAAAGCTCTCCCAAAAATGCACCTTCAAGCACCTGATTCTTGTGAGGTCTGCAGATAAATGTGTCCCAAGCAATATTAGTCATTTCCACAGCATTCCCGTTCTGTCATTTCCTTGTTGGCATTAAAATACAGTTCCAGATGACCTAGGTGTGCTTTGCAGATAATTCTGACTTCAGGATGAAGTAAGTCACACCCTGGATGCTATGGACTTGTCTGACTAGATCCATAGCTCAGTTGCAGCCTGCCAGATTTAGCCTGACTGATCCCACCATAGGCTGTCCGTCACCTTTTTTCAGAAGGACATGGTTTGGTTTTTTTCTCATGGTGCCAATTGCCCTGTGTTTACCAAAACCCCTATTCACGATGGTGGATAGCATTGGAGGCCTCGTGAATCTGTGGGTTTTGACAGCGTTTCCTTGTAGCAGACGTCAGTGTAGTAGACCCGAAGTGAATCACCATCCTCCCCCACATAAACCCTGAGATAACATCCTCCAGCTCGTTCCATTATCAAGGGAAAAGAGCTCACAGCATTATATCTGGGTCAACTGCTCCCTGCCAGTGCTCAAAGCAAGTCTTCAGCCCTTCCCAGTTCATGCACACCAGGTTTAGTCCTCTTCATATAGCCTTTATCATTTAAGGAAAGCACGTATCTGAGAAGGTTACAAAGCTGCTTGCTTGCTTTGCTTGATCTTTTCAGTCTGGTTTTGTTTCTTTTTAGGTGCTGGGAGGAAGTAGTGGAATCCCCATTCTGGTGGATCATTAAAACTCCTATTTTGGTGTCTATTTTGGTAAAGTATCAGCACATTCTGCTGGCTGCAAAGCCATCTTTAATGCGAAGTGTGGGGGGTGAAGGGGTGTTGAGAAGTGTTCTGTAAATGTCCATGGAAAATGCATTGACAGATAAAGTCCCACTGTGTACTGAATGTCTGTCCTAGGATGAGGAAACTCACCATCTGGATAAACAGTTTTACCTTTAAACATTGACCATAGCAAGAGCTTGAGTTTCTAAACAACCAAGGTGGAGCTCGTTTGATTTAACTCTGACCACTTTCACCTCAAGCTAGTCACACTGGGTACCCTGGTGCAGTAGCCATGGGCATGTGTAGGCAGAGGAGTTGAGGAACATGGTTAGAGATTCAGGAAAGGCTTATCTTGTCTACTGAATCAGTGGATGTCTAAATTCACTCAGATGAATTGTGCCATGAATGGTTTTGTTTCTCTGAGCTAACCATATGCAGAGCCCAGGATGGCTTGTTCAGTTTTAGATGTCAGCACTATGAAGTAAAATGGGATGAGTCCTACCATAAATTTCTACCTAGATACAAAGGGGTTAGATGAATTCCCCCAGATATTTACCTCCTGTTATAGCATCCAGTACAAAGTTTAATTCCAGCTAGGAGTTTTTAGATTAAGTCTTGAGACATTTGCCTAATTTCCAGATATATCAACAGAAGTGCTTGACTTCTTACTTCTGTGGATATGATCAATTCTGACCACGTAAATCATGACACTTCTGGGGAACCCTGAGTCCTTCCATCCTTGTTGAGTATTGCGTGTTCCTCTGAAAGGTATCAAGGCAAAACTTGAAATCACATGAGCTTGAGTTAAACTTAGCTTTGAATTTTCTTAAATGAAGGAAAGTATGTGGGAAGGGAAGAAAAAGAATGCAGCAGAAATCAAACCAAATATATCTCTTTTAAACAGAAATCTTTTCTTAGGCATACATTCTTCTTATTCCACTTACTTTGTGACCTTTACAAGAAGGCTTTTTTTTTTCCTGTAGCATTTGTCAGGATTCCAAACTGAAACAGTTTGAATAATTACATCTTACTTTATTCACCTCATTGAAAAGAAATACAGTAGTTAAATGACACATCTCAAAATATTTATGTCATCATATAAAGGTATAGATAGTGTTTTCCTTTCCCCAGATAATCTTTTGGTAAAGAAATACACCCTGTTCTCTTTGGATCAATGAGTCTGTATTTTATTTTGGCCAATAAATTATTTCCTTATTGCTAAACAAAAATTTACACAGCAATTTCAGATTTTCCTTCTGCAAGTATCTTATAAATCTGGCACAAAGGGGCAGGCATGATAACCGCTGTCTGATGAACAGCAGTTTTTTTCAGGGAGGAACGCAACACTTCCCTCATATTCATGGGAATAAAGCATAGATCTCAGTGGAAGGAAGAAATACATATATAAGATATAAGATATTAAGCACTGGGAACAGATCAAGTACCTTTGATTACACTCTAGGTTGAAAAATAAACTAAACAACTTCTCCAGTAGCCTGATAGCCATATCTTCTACCATGCAATGGTAAGACTGTACAAAGCCTATAACTCATACTCCACCTGACTCATCACTGCCCCGTGTCCATGCTTGCTCCTGACCACTACAAGCCAACACAGTCAGTATTTAACTGCTCCAGTCTTACCTTCAGTGCTGCAGCTGTGTGCTATCGATGCGCATTAGAGTAATTGATCTAGATAACACTGTTTTGAATTGATAAATTTAACTTGCCATCAAGTCATACCCAAACCATTTTTATAAGCAAATAAATACGAACAGGAACTCTGATAAATGGCATGGGAAAGATAAAAAGTGATTAAGCAATGCATCATAACCAAGAAATACAATTAATTTCCAATCTATCATAGCCTTTGAAAACAGAGTGAGTGTCTAATGGAGAGATGTGCTTCAGTCTACGTTATTCACCTGTTGTTGAGATAATGTAGGAATTGCTGGAGGAAATTTTACAATCTGTTTTTGCAGGAAATCAGTTTGGCTGGTTAGCACAATCCCTTCCAGCTGCTGAGCCTCTAAAAATCAGAAGCATTTGTGCATTCGTTAACCATGAAAGGATAAAGAAAGAGGTTGTGTGCCAAACTAAAAACTAAACTAGGTTGACATAAATCTGTCATCGCTTTTCTACTGTATATGTGGCATGAATTACAGCGTGATTCAATGAATAGGACCTTAAAAGCGAGTAGATTTACATTCAACTTCTGCCATCTACTACGTCCCTTTAGGAAAATGACATTTCTATCTCTACACCTGTGCTATTAGAGAAGGTTAACATTGCTTGAGCATGTTGGAGCACTTCAAGATTTTTTGAGTGAAAAGCACCATCTAAAATCTAGGTATTAGCTAAATTCCTCTGGTCTAACATCCTAGGAGAGAATGTTTTCCGCTGTGTTGGTGAGGTCTATCCCTTGCTATACAAGGTCTCCAGCTTCCCTCCAGAGGAGACATGCTCAACAGCACTGAGTAGAGGCCCGCTTGAGTGGATACTGCTTTGTGTTTTGTTTCGGTTTCCTTGGCTCACTGCCTCAGTCTTTGACATGCTCAGCAGCCGGTCCCATGTCACCGTCTCCCGAGGGCTTTGACGTCCGTCGCTCCGCTAACTCCCAAGGCTCTTTTCCCGCCCTGTCGTCGGCACTCCCCCGCGCAGCAGGACGTCGTGCATAGCTGTGCTCTATGGGTTTGACATCATCATACTTGGGATGTATGACACAAAGTCCCAAGCAGGCTGATGTCAGGCCCAAGATGGCTGCCATCCTGTGTCGGTTTACTATGTGCTCCCAGAGTGGGGTTCTCTGCTCATGGCTTTTTAACAACAGCTTGCTACATGGCAAAAATATTGCAGTGAAAGGAACTCCCATCTAACGACCGGCTCTTTTCACTGGACAAAAATACTAATTTTTAATTTCTCTCTCTTTCTACCCATCCCGACAGGTGAACTTCATTCTCTTCATTTGCATCATCCGTATCTTAGTCCAGAAGTTGCATTCCCCAGATGTTGGACACAATGAAACCAGCCAATATTCGTAAGTCCTAGACTTTTTAAACCATATTGCATGCTTTTGGGGAAACCTCTTTGGCTGTTGGTTCAGTATTGCACCTGTCTGCCCTGATCAGAATCAAGTATTTGTTAGCTGATTAACGCTGATCAGAAATCAGGAAATGGGGCATTTGCTAAAACAGCTGTGCATGTTTTGGGTCAGTTTGAACAGACGGGCAGAAGGCTTTCTCTTGGGATAAACAATGAAGATGTGGGAGCAACAGTAACGATCATGAAACAAAATAAGATTTTTCTTTGCATAACCCGTACTTATTGGAGTCTGGAGGCAGAGGGACCCTTATGAAGAACAAAGAGTAGCTGTCCACAGTATACGGGCTTTTATTTCTGAATCAGTTACCCTCAGCTCCCTTTTTCACAGAAAGATCTAGAAAATCAGTACTTTCAGTTTTTTCAAAGAAAGAGAGATCTAGAAAATCAGTACTTTCAGTAGAATCTATGACAAAGTTTTCTTATCCTAAAGCAGACCGCTAAACTAGGTTGGATAATTCAGTGCATTTCTTTTCACCCTTGAGAAGTAGCACTGTCTCAGAAATTTTGATTGACATGATGCTTTTATTCCAGGGATATAAGTTTGACCTTAATGGGGCTTTTCATAACGAACAACATGCAAGTGAGATCAGCATCTGTCTCAGTGGCCAAGACTGGTCTTAGTTGCAGTATTTTAAGAGTGTGAGAGATCTGTCTATCTGCATGGATTTATTCTGGCTTTAATGCAAATAAAATAAAAGTTCAGACCAGCTTCTTTTTGACTCTTGCTACTGTCCTGGCTCAACATTTCAACTATCCTGGACATTTATTAAATGTTTCCTAGAAAAGAACTGAAAAGAAGTCCAGTGTCTGCATGGTCACTGCTCATAAATCTTTGTCTGCGGAGGGAGCTGTGCACTTTGGATACCCTGGAGAATCTGAGCCCAGTTCATCTTTCTGCTAGATTGAAGCCAACATCAATATAGTCCTTAAACACTGACCACCCGTGACAATTAGTCTTTCTCTGGTGATGGTAAATTATGCATTTCATCAGTCTTGAGAGAGTCTCAGATTTGGGAAAGAAAATTCCAGTATTTGACCTTAACTTCTCCCTGCAGCAGCCAGAGCCAATTACCTCTTTTTCCATCATCATAACTTGACAGCATTACCAGACTCCACGCTTTGTGTCACCTCCCTTTTTCTATTTCCAATTGGGCATTGTATCTTTGTACCCCCAGGATTGCAACAGCTTTGGCCAGGTATGTAGATTAAATCAGCATATTGAAATATGTTCTAGTGCTCAGCAGCAGCCTGGAGCAGTTGGCTCCCGTTCATCTCAGTACAAGGGCTGCCAACACGCATCGGAAGGGTTATGCCCGGATTACCTCGGAGGTCATGCTGAGCTTTGGGTTCAGGGCTTTTTACTTGACATTTTCCAATGAAGTGGGAGCTGCCAGGAAAGCTCTCTTGGCATTGTAAACACACGCAGCATGTCAGGGCAGTAAGTAACGTGGACTTCCCCCCCCACAGGCCTGCCAGACAGGATGCACTGCTGACATACAATGATCTTTCCTTCTTCAGTTCCTCACCTTCCTCCTCTACCTGGAAAAACATCTCAGATCCATCAGGGCATGAATCAGTTGCTCACCTACAGGTGTCCAGGCCATATGAGGTGCTTTAGGACATTTGAGATACTTGCCTGGACCTGGCATATAGGACCCAGGGATCTATGGGAGTCTTGTAGGCTGTGAGTGACAGGTGGCCACCAGCCAGATTCTCTGGGGCATCTGGAAGTCTCCGTTGACTGTATTGACTGCGGTGGGACATGAGACACCTCACTTTCCTATGGAAATTAATATTAAGTGTCCAAATCTGAAGGCTGGATCTCACCAGTCATAGAATCATAGAACGGTTTGGGTTGGAAGGGACCTTAAAGCCCATCTAGTTCCAAGCCCCCTGCCATGAGCAGGGACACATTCCACTAGACCAGGGTGCTCAAAGCCTCATCCAGCCTGGCCTTGAACACTTCCAGGGATGGGGCATCCACAGCTTCTCTGGGCAACCTGTCCCAGTGCCTCACCACCCTCTCCGTGAAGAACATCTTCCTGATATCTAATCTAAGCCTCCCCACTTTCAATTTAAACCTGTTACCCCTTGTCCTGTCATACAGGCCCTTGTAAAAAAGTCCCCCCCAGCTTCCTTGTAGCCCCTTCAGGTACTAGAAGGCTGCAATAAGGTCTCCCTGGAGCCTTCCCTTCTCCAGGCTGAACAAGGGAAGTTCTCAGTGTGGTCCTGAGTTTTTCATGTTTAGACAGCTAGCTGTAGAGACATTTGGGGTCCAGACCCTTTTATAAGTGCTATTAGGCATGTGATCTGCACTTTTAAGTACCTGGATTCTCTTACAGGTCATTCCCTTATTGCCTGAAATGCTACTGCTAGCTTCAGGGGTTTGTCCTGCAGGACCCAAGAGATGTTAGCAAAAAACTGTTGCTAATGATATGTGTGGGTTCCTCCTGTCAAATCTGAAACAAGTATGTCTTAAACTAACAACATCAGGGATCTCTCATTTGCATTTTTCCCTCCTTCTCTTGTTTATTTTATATTGTTTATTTTACAAAAAAATAACATGTTGACATGTTGACAGTGTTGTTCAACTCCAACCGGTTTCAGTTTAGCTGCAGGCTGGAAGTTCAGGTGTGCTGCTGACTCACTCATTAATGCTACAGACAGTGAACTGGGCTTTAATGTATTGGAAACTGTGAAAACAAGTCTCCCACAACAGCTTTCTGGAAATGACAGAGACATGTGGAAGAATGGGACAGCAATATTTCAGGCTAATAGAATTTGTTTTCTGCAACAGCAATCTTGAGAAAATTCATCTCTTTCTATTTCTACATGTTCATAAATCAATATTATTATCAAAGTTTTCTGGGTGACTTTTCCATTATGCATTCAAGGAGCATGACTAAAATGTTGGTTCACTATTGTCCACTCCCAAGGAGAGGAGCAGGTTCAGTGAAGGTCAGGGGAGACGTGTTTCCCTTAAATTACCTGTGACCACATATGTATATCTGTCAGAGAGGGTAGGTCTAACAAGTGCACCCTGTGCTGAGAGTGGAAGGAATGAGTTTTTGAGAAGCCATGGCTTCCAGCAGGTAGCCCTAAACAGCTTTGGACAATCTCCCAGAAGGTTCTACCTCCTGCACAGCAAGGCTTTAGCTTCCTGGGAGAAATTACACCATGACTGGGGAAGAGGATTGTCCTCATTGCAGTGTTTAGCAGGGAGTCTTTTAAATATCACAGTGCTAGACCATAGGGTCCTTGTCTTGAAGCCAAACTGAGATCTAAAACATCACTCAGTATTCTGGGGAAGCTCAGTGCTGGGAGCAAGAGATTGGTTTGGGGTGTTGTGCAGACTGGAGGAGGGGGCTCCCACGGTTTCGCATTTATGCCCTGTCCATTACCACAGGAGGGAAAATGCCATAACTGAGGCCTGGTTGTTGTCTGCAATGATTAGATAAAGTTTTCTCCTCCATTGGAGGTTGCAAACAGCCTCTCTATGTATGTGGTACATGAAGGTAGCACCTTATCGATCTCCTATAGGTTGACTTGTTCCTGAAAGACTGAGGAGAGAGAAGAGATCTCTGCAAAGTCAGGATTAATATTCATTGAACTGTGGTCTGCTTAAAAAATTAATTGCTTTCTCATATCTCAGGAGCTGGGGGAATAAGGGATGGATAGTCCTACTGTGGGTCACACTGGCCAGAGCTGCTTCTGACATGGAGGAACATGGTACCCTGATAGTCACCAGTGACAGTCCTCTGTCAGAGCAAGACAACCAAGAGAACTCACATTTTGGATCTTCTCACTGTGAGCAGGGAGGCATATGCCCACTAGTGAGGGATGTGGTGGGAAAGGCAAATTCCTGGAAAGTTCCTTGGCTTCCTACAGGCACTTGTTTTGCCAGGAATGCATTACAGCGAGCTGCTTTTCAGCCACCAGGTATTCCCAGGGGAAACACAGCCTCCAACCACAGCCTTAAAGTCAAACTGTCTTTGGGCCAGGCCCAGGGAAAGCTGGAAGGGTCTGCTGGGAGATACAGTGATGAGTATCATCTGCATAAAGCTGGCATATCGGCCTTCCCAGCGGGCTTATGCAGACAGCAAATAAATGAAGATGATCTGGGGGCACCAAGCCTAATGGAACTCTGGAGGTAAAGAGTTTGCAGATGGAAGAACAAGTATTTCCAACTTCCCAGCCTTAGCTTCAATTCCTCCAGAAGACTCAGGGAGAGGGGGACATGGGGGGATATGGGTGACCAAGGGAGCCAAAACCCCCATAAGTATCCTTAACACCTTGATTTCATTTTATTTCTGTCAGCTATATTTTAACAATGATTAGATTTAATAAATTATCATTTCTTCCTAATTAGACCTGTGATTACCCAGCCTGATGCCATTAAGCACTAATACTGTTCATCTCCCTCCTTTGGAGACTCCATTGTGCGATAGCCTGTCATTATTCTGAGCTAAACATACCATTTCTCTCCCAGAAGCTGTAATTTTCAGAAATCCCAAGCAAACAAAGACAGCACTAGAGGATGATTTAGCTTGTAGAGATGAAAAAAGATCTCCAGTGGGAGGGGAAGAAGAGAGAAGGGAGAAAGAAATACCTCCATAGAAGTTACTGGGAATAAAGATGTCACATTTTATGTTGTCGCCTCATCTGAAATCACCAGCCATCTGCAGTCTGCAAGCCAAGGAGAAATAATCTAGGTCTGATCATTCTGCCTCAGCTGGAGGCACGTATGTGTTGATATGAGAGCTGTTAACGAGGAGGAAAGCAATCCTGTGGAAACAATCCCGGCACAGAACTTGGTTAGTGTGAAGGGATTATGCCCAGCCGAGTGTCTGGCTCCGCATGTCATTGCACCCTGGCCCAGGTCATCAGAGGGATCCTGGGGTGTTTACGCTGGGTGGGGCTATCTCAACTCCCTCCCTTGCCGTGTACCCCAGACATGTATTCCTTCTGGTTGAGGGCAGCCTCCTGATGCTGCCTCACTCGAGGCTGCTGTTGAAAGGCTGGATGTTCTCAGGGCCCATATCACATCTCCTGAGGGTAAACAGAGGTACTTAACATGCATGATCAGGCTACACCATCATGATCCTGGTAATCAGCAAATACATACTGCAGCAAATTAAAGTTTTGGGGTTGCATAGGGCTCAACTTCAGGATTTCTCATCAGCTTACCTTTTAGTTCTTCTTCCCTCTCCCTTCCTGATTCATGTTTTTCTTCCCAACAGGAGGCTGGCCAAGTCCACGTTGCTGCTGATCCCTCTCTTTGGCATTCACTACATCATGTTTGCGTTCTTTCCTGACAATTTCAAAGCAGAAGTTAAGCTGGTCTTTGAGCTCGTGGTTGGGTCATTCCAGGTAAGCCACCTTTTGGGCCACCAGTCACCAGGTCTGTCAGCAGGGAGAAGTGAAACAAGCATGACAAGGGAATAAGCCAACATGTGAGCTGGGTTTTTCCTGGACATGCCCAATACTGCTCTTAACCTTTGGGGAAAGAGCTGCTCACTCCAGCTTGGCCAGGATGGAACATAATTTTATATTTTGCCTCCTGGAATTCCAGAAGGAGATTCTCTCCCTTCATTTTAGGCACCTGAAGAGAAAATGTATCTCTGTAAGTTAGTCAACCTGGGGTTTTTTGTACTTGAGGGATAAAAATGAGCACCTTCATTCAGCTTATATATTATTGACATGGTGTAAGATGACATAAATTGCTTTTGGGAGGAATGTTTTTCTGGCCATTAACAGGAGCCTCGTCTGTCTTCAACCAGTTAACTTGCATGAACTCTCTTCTCTGTTAAAAAGACAGGTTCTTCCTGTAGATCCTGCTCAAGCAGGATTATGGTTCATTGGTATAGGAGATAGGTTCTGCACAAGGGTGGATAACAGGGCAAGTTCTCCGTGTTAATCTTCAGGAAGCCCTGGTGAAGTTTTGTTCTTAGACCCTCCCACACACTTCAGTCAGTTCCCATGTTGGGCTGTTAGCCTTGGCCCTGCTGTTTTATGAAAAGAAGCACTTCCATAAGGACCAGAGATAAGTTTGGTTTATTTTTTTCAGTGGAAGCTGAGATTCTCAAAACTGAGGTGTCACTGCAGGGGAGATGGGAAGGGAACAGTTTAGCCCTATACTGTGTCTAAGATCATTCTGACCTTGATGTACTAGTGAGCATGCTTAGATCTCCCCAGTTTCAGCTGCCAACAGCAAGCAGAAAAGTTGGGTCTAGTGTCCCATCCAGTTGCCTCTAATGACCACTTTGAATGACTAAGTGCTCTTCTTAGAGCTGAGCTGACTGCTCTTGGCTTTAAACACCAGTCTGGAGCAATCTTTTAACTCACACCTGTACATCTACTGCAGGGTACTTTAACTGACCTTTCCCTGCTCCTTCTACAGGGAAAATGCAAGCAAGTGGTTTCTGAGATACTTTCACTGATCTTCCCCTGCTCCCTCTACAGGGAAAATGCAAGCAAGTGGTTTCTGAGGGTCACCTTAGCAGTCCCCCAGCAGTGTGCCCTTTCTCCAAGGCTGCAGTGAGTTTGGGTTGTGACCTAGGGGAATATCAGCTGTGAGGAGCTAAAAGCCTGTTCTCTCCTTTTCCCTAGGGATTTGTGGTGGCTGTTCTGTACTGTTTTCTCAATGGGGAGGTAAGATCAACAATATTGTTTGGTTAATGTTTGCAGCTAAGGCAAATTGATTGCTTATGGAGAGTGGATTGAGAAGTGTCCCATTCCTGATGTTATCATGTTGGTGGGAAGCTTTCACGTCAAATCACTCACTCCAGAAAAACAGCTCAACCATTTGCCTGACAGTTTCCAGTATAATTAATAAACGTATTAGGACTTAATGTGTGGACTGTTATCGTTCTGCTGCTGAGTCCTTCCTTCACTCATGAGACAGCATCAGCAGAACTTCTGTATGACCTTGCATAAACCCTGATCTGAAGGGACCACCTTCAGCAGGGAAGGATGAAGCCCGTCTTCTAAGCTCTACTCAATGAATCTTCCACAGAATCAGGCCCCCTCCAAGATGGAGGCTTATTAGTGCAGTGATATTTTTGTACCACGTTCCATCTGCCTGTAAGAAATTCAGCAGATACTAATTAAACCCATATCTCGAAGGCTACCAAGTAGGTGTGAGCAGCTAAAAACTTGGACCTGCTGTCAGCTGGAGCACTTTCAGCTCAATAAACTGAGAATGGACAAGAAAGAAGCAGCTGTGATCTGGGTTTATGTTCCAGCTTCCTGGGGAGCAGAAGAGTGTTCAGAATCACAATTTGCTCCGTTACAGCTCCGATACTGCTTTCAGCCATGCTGATGTCATGTGTACATCACGCAGTGGCATGCAGGGCAGATAGCCCAGCTCCAGCAGAGACCTATGCCAGTAAGTCTGCACAGAGCAGGACAGAACCACACAAACTTTTTAATGATCCAAAACTGATGTAGGCATTGACGTGACTCGTTAGGCACAGATCAGTGCCAGGTAAACATGCTTCTACCTTAGAGGCATTGATTTTGCCTTTCCCACGTTTCCAGTCCTGCGGTTTGCATCCTGGTGTATTATTCCTGTGCCTGCTGGTCCCAGAGACCCTCAGACACAGCTGTTGTATCTAATTCATACTGTTATTTTAAAAACTTGCACTGGAAGGCTGCAGGAGGGGATAGGGACGATGGCCAGATTTGTTCAGAGTTTGAATCTGGACAGAGTAAACCAGATGATGTATGTAAACTCACTGAGCAGGAACAAGTAGCTTCTATCAATAAAGCACAGCTGTATTGACAGCTTTACAAATAAGCTATAGTTAATTCATTTGTATTTGGACAAAAAAAGGGCAGTGTGGAAAAAAAATGTTAATTATACTCAAAAAGCACAGAATATGTTGCCATTGAAGTTAAGTAGTCTGGCACCTTCACTGTGTCAGATACGCAATTCCCTGTGCTCACCTTTCTGATGAAGCTCAGGGATTTCTGCTTTAGTAGTTCACTGACTAGAGTGTGACCTCTCTTCTGTGTGGCTAAAAGTTCTGGCCAGGTTGAGTTTAGTCACCTTTATAAAATAATTCTTCATAGAATCATAGAATAGAATGTTCTGGGTTGGAAAGAACCTTTAAGATCATCTAGTTCCAACCCCCTGCCATAGGCAGGGACACCCTCCACCAGACCAGGTTGCTCCAAGCTTCATCCAGCCTGGCCTTGGACACTCCCAGGGATGGGGTATCCACAGCTTCTCTGGGAAATCTGTGCCAGTGCCCCTTGCTAGGTGTCTCACCCATTTCTGCTCACACAATGAAGTCAGAGCAATGAAATATGCTCCCTTCTGCTGATTTTCATGTCTTTCCACCACCTAGGTCCAAGCTGAGCTCAAGCGAAAGTGGCGGAGGTGGCATCTGGAGCGGTTCCTGGGCTCGGACATGAAGTATCACCACCCTTCCTTAGGCAGCAACGGCACCAACTTCAGCACCCAGATCTCCATGCTGACCAAGTGCTCGCCAAAGACACGCCGGTGCTCTGGCTTCCAGGCCGAATTCTCCCTGGTGTGATGGGGAGAGGCTCTCCGAGCACTGAGAATCCAAGAGAGACAGAAGGATCCCCAGGAATCAGTGATATGTGACAAACCCTTGCGAAATGGCATGCTACGCATGAGCCAACAGAGGACACGAAAATGGAAAAGCCACTGGCATCCAGAACAAGATCAGACAGGCCAAGAGGCAGAGAAATACTTTTCCTCTCCCTCTTTACAGACCTTTCACTCTGAAGTTTCAAGTCCTCAGGGATTGATAACTATGAGTAAAGGTCCCAGTCACTAGAGCCTGGGAGATCCTGATGTGTCATAAATAATGAAGTATGGGGGGTAAGGGAGGGGAGAGCCTGAGTCCTTGGTGGCTTTACCAGACCCGGCATCTCTGAAACGGAAAACCTGCACTTTTTAAAAAATGAGCCAGTAAAGGAGAGAGGGAGGCAAGAAGCAGAAAAAAAAAATATGCCAAACAGATGAATGTGCCAAAAGTCCTGTTGATAAGAGGTGATGATAAGGCACCGAAGACAGAGTCGGGGGCACGAGAAGGGACAAAAGGAACTTGAGCAGGAAGGGGAGAGGCCAGCACATGGTCCCTGCCTCTGCATTTTACACATGTGAAGATGAAGCTGCAGCACCAGGAAAGCCCCTCGGAGGATGCCCCCAGTGCTGCAGGGTGTTCTGCTAATTGCCCACCATCCTTGTTAGCACAAGATTTCCAAGCACCCTTGGGTGCCCTCTGGAAAAGCAGGTCGCTGAGAAGGAACAGAGTGAATGCCCTTCTCTGCGCCATGTTCATGACATCGTGTTTTGTTTGGTTGCTTTCAATGAACAGGAAACTCGATTTGCATGTATAAAAACCGGGTGCAGATGCCAAAAGCTGAGCACGGCTGTGTTTTTCATTCTTTTTAAGTTCACCCATAGATCTTGGTGCATTAACGCACCCAGGATCATTAGGGGTCAGGGGAAAACAATTGGTCTGTAATTCGTTTGCACTTGCTTAGCACACACTGCCAGGAAAGGGAGATGTAGAACCCTGTAATCCTTAATTGAATAAGACCTGCCATAAGGAGCCACTCTCCAGATGAAAAAAATTAGCATCACAGCAGCAAGCGAAATTGCTTTCATCAGAACAAGGTTGTCTCAGCACATAACTGGCACTCCAGGAGTCAGGAAGGAGTGAAGGAGCTATTAAATTGATTTCTTCTTCAGCTTTTGTGGGGAGCTTTCATCCTGTGATGAAGGCATTGTTATGTCTTTAAGATGTGCATGTGTATTTCACCTCTTTCCTGCAGGCCTATTAGTTCCCGTATGGGGCAATCCCTTTCTGAAGGATGCACATAGATCCTGTTACGACCAAGGGGATAGTTATTCTTTTCTTTTCTTGGTGGAGGGATGAAGGAGAGGTGTGAAACAGAGTGCTGCTCAGACATGCCAGGCTGGTGGCACACAGGGCATCACATGCAGCTCACGTGCCCAGGCGCTGCGTTTGAGACAATCCCTGCAATCCCAGACTCAGTCAGAGAACAAACACAAGGATGCGGATGCTCGCGTTGGTCTCCCGCCCAGCTGCATCGAATGGGGTTGCAGCAGTTTTACACTGGACGTGGAGAATCCCTGCCCCTGCTCAGGTGTACACTCAGCATTTGGGCTGCTCTTGTCCTGCTGTAACGTGTCATAGCACTGTCCTTGTGAAGGAGAGTCTGGGTCACCAGTGCATGTACACAGAAAGGAACACGGGCTCCTCTTTCAGAGATCTCGGCTTATCCACCGTACACGGAAAGGCACATGGGATCTTTCAGAGATCTCGGCTTATCCACCAGGTACTAGCAGCACCTGGACTTCTTTTTCTTCAGCATGAAGTTCATTGAGTTCATGAATTCTTGCTCCTCTTTAACTTGGTGGGTTTGGGGTTTGTTTTGCTTGCTTGTTTGCTTGCTTTAAGCATCTGTGATTCACAGCCAGCAAACCACACTGAGCCCAGGAGGGGAGTTGCAGATCTGGACATCAGGTTCCTTTCTCACTTCTGAGAGAGTGGCTGTTCCAAAGCAGGATGTCTCCACATGCAGGACTGAGAACACCATAGAGGGCTGATGTCACCAAGGGGCGTGAGACACTGATACAACTGCCCTGAAGGGTAGACATGCACTCACGAGTTTCCAGTGAGCTAGCTCAGATGCTGTCACAGTGTAGCCATGGCTACCCGGCCTGCAAAACCTAAGAGGATAGGTACATATTTGTGAAGCCAGTCATAACAAGCTCCATAGTCCTGGAAATAAGGTATTGATGAGACCCCAGGCTAACCAGGTGCAAGCCATCATTGTTACGCCTGCGTTACTCTGAAACCATATCATTATCAGTTAGAATCCAACACTGAAATGCCATAAAATCATCAAAATCTTCTTAGCAGCTCTCTAATTCCCAAAATCTAGAGAAACCAAGAGGATGCTTAAAATTTCCCCATATTGCTTGCACTAAAGCCATTATGCCCTGACACCCCAGGAACGAGGTCCCCACTGAATCCCCCATGAGGTTCTCAGAGGCAAGGACCCTCATGTTTGGTGCTGGTGCTGCTCTGCTGAGTGCTTTCAGACCTGGATCAGGACTCACACAGAAGATGCTGGAGAAGTTCCACCAGTATCTTCTCTTGTGCCTGGTTCAAAGCAAGGGATCGACCCAGCTCTGCATTTCAGCGGCTGAGTCACTAGCTGCGAGTAAGCCCAGAAGAAGCAAGGGAAAGCTGTTTCTCAGCTCCCAAGTTGTTCCACTTGATGTAAATTGTTTCCTCTTGCTGTTCCAGAATTTGGAAGGAACATCATTCTGGGAAAGATTTGATTCATCGAGCTGCAGAGTCATTCACCCCCATAGAATCATAAGACAGTTTGGGGTGGGAGGGACCCTTAAAGGTCATCTTGTCCAACCACCTTGCAGTGAGCAGGGGCATCTTCAACTAGATGAGGGTGCTCAGAGCCCCTCTTCATCCGTCATAGGAGCTATTTATGCACAGCAAAATTGGTGGGCTGCAGAGGAGCACTGCCTGATGTTGTTGATGGATCCACTGAGGTGCCTGATGTGTGGACTTGAATCCCAGGTCCCAGACAAGCAGAGCAGGAGTCTGAGCACAGAGCTATTGAGTGTAAGTGATGCACCATTACCAGCAACCTCCTTTGTGAGTTGTGAGGGAAACATTTCCCATCTGGTTTAGGCAGCTTTGCTGGGATAGAAGGTCAGTGCACCCTGTGCATTTTCACTCTGTTGTTCTTCACCTTCTTTTTCCTCTCCCTGTGCTTGCAACTCCATTTGCAGGAGAACCTTCTGCTTTGTATTGTGTATATTGTCTTCCGTTTCAGCCCTGTGCTAGCCCGTGCCAGCATCAATCATGTGCCAAAGGCAGCATGGGCTTGCCTTTTAGAGATATGGCAGGGCAAAATTCAGCTGGTTGTATACCCATGCGGTGTGGGCTTCTGCAGCCCATGAGATTCACCACCAGGCTGTTCTGCACGGGAGCCTGAAGATAGGATGTGACCTCAACTGAGGGGCTCCTTCAAAAAACGTTGCCTACATTAACGTGCCAGGAACAGTGCCCCCAGGCATCCTACTTGCAATTATTTCATCACTGAACATCCAGTCACATCGCTATTATGCTGTCAAGGGTGTTTGAGAGATTAAATGAATGTGCTGAATATACCTGCTGTGACAGGCATGGCAATATTAGTGATGCAGGCAGTGCAGAGCTGACAGCCCAGCTGCGTTGGCCTCATATTTCAGGAGAACAGAGGAGTCAGTGCTGAAATCAAAGCTTTTCACTCTGGGGATATGAGCAATCAAGTGAACGACAACATTCGGATCAGGCCCTCATTTAAGTGGCTTAGTGCAGGAATTTGGCCCAATAACTTGGCTTCTTCTACTCTCTTTTTCATCCAGCGCATCAATAAAATGGAGTTCAGGGAACTCGCTGCAACCCAAACGACAACCCAAGCTGCATTGTCCTGAACCCATGCGGAATACACGATGCATTGATCTGACCCCTTAGTGCTAAGACAGGAATGACTCCAGTGAAGGAGACCGTCGTGATTTGATGTGTTGGGCTTGTAGATCTATATAAGGATCATGAATTTAGGCTCCAAGACTCAATACAGAAATCAGGCCAAATTCTGATCCCACTTGCGCCAATCAGTTCACTTCAGCGACTCCTGAATTACACCAGCATTAAACTGGAATATGCCTTTAGAATAATTCCGTTCTCTTCAGCCTAGAACTGTTTACTGCCGCGTTATACCTGTGAGACATCAACCCCTCCTGCTAATTAGCCACTCTATATTTCAGTGGTTAAACAATTACGCAATTAATCATAAGTATGGAACAATTAAAATACAGAAATTCAATTATTTTCTCAAGGTCCAGAGGCACAAGCTTCAATGCTAACATTAGTCTGTAGATATTTCTATTCAGCTGGGACCTATACTGCTTGGTGGCCCTCCATAAGCAGCCAGAAATGAGAATATGACCATGTTTAGGGTTTAAAAAAGAGCAGAAAAGAAATTTGAGGCTGTTGCGGAATTCCAGGGCATTCATTTGAGACATAATTGTCATTAATTACGATAGTTATGGAATGGAAAAGGGATCCCAAAAAAGCCCAGGAGACAAAACATCTGAATTATTTTATTCTATTTTATTTTATTTTTATTTTATTACTTTATTTTATTTTATTTTATTGCTTAGGAAGCAGTTATATTTTTCTCAAGGAAGGTGTTTCTGGAGAACTAATGTGCTGTACATTAACTAATCAGCAGATTTACTGCTTTCTCAACATCCTGCTTGGTTCCCGTTCAGCTCAGAAGCAACGAGGCAGGGTGGTGTCTGTGTCACGGGGCTGTGCGAGCAAAGGCATTAAAACTACATCTCCGCTCCAATCTGATGGAAGTCGTTTCAGTGAGAGATGCACCTGCTGGTTAACAAAAGGCTGCCTGGTGATTTTCAAAAAGCCAAATGAAGTTGCAGAACGAGCTCAGGAGTGAACGTCGCTTGGCCCCATGGCAGGAGTTAAAGGGTTTTGGTTGGATTATTTTGTCTCCATTCCTTCTGCCATCACCACAGTGTTTAAACAAGGCAAAACCCAATGGGTTGCTGCAGGAAATACGAAATCTTTTCAGCCTGGATGGAATTTCTCAAACTTGGAAATGCTTACACGTGTCTTTGAGAAGCTCGTGTTATTCTGTCCGCACAAGTTCAACCTGGTCTGATTGATGGTGTATGAAAATTCACGTGGCACCAGAGGCAAGGAGACTGAGCAGCAGCATGTCTTCTCTGGAAGATGAGTCAAGGTTTACCACCAAAGCCCATGTCAAGCTTGCCTCCTCCTCGCTGCATCCCAGCCCCTCTGCTTTCAGGTAGGACTTTTAGCTGAAGAAAGGATCCCCACTCCACGGGGGTGTTGACACAGCCCAGGCACAGCCCTGTGCTTCCTCCCAGGGCATCTCTGCACCAATGAATGTGCCAAATTCTTGGAGACAAGGACTACAGTCCTGAACTCCCTGGCTTGCAACTTTGCACTTTTCTCACACTGATGCTTATGGTGACAAAAACCATAATGCTTCGTGATTGTAGGTGACCCTCAAAGAGCAGGTCGAGTCCCTTCAAGAGCCAAGCTCCTGGCATCATATACACCCATATCAATCTGGAATGACTGCTGGTATCCTGCTGAAGGAAAAGAATTAAGTCCCAGACTGGTACTGGGAATCAGATGTCCCAAAATCCACAAGACCATGGATTTCAATACATTTGCTTTCAGGTAATCAACTTTTCACCCCATCTCCAAACCCAGTATTTACATACCAGTCTGATGAGGTATAAATACAATGACTGATCTTGTTAT